CCCAGTCATGCAGCCCTAATAAATATTTACCAAATAGTTTTTCTTGTGCATGTTTTTTATTTATTTATTTTTTTATGAACTATAGCTGAAAGCTTTGTTGGATTTTTATGCATTTGTATAATGGCAGCAATTTTTTTTTAAGTCTTAAGTTATTGTTTGCTAAAACTGATGAAATAATTTTTAGATTTTAATTAAAATAAAGCTGAAATAAAATATAAATATTAGCGCAAAAAAAAAAAATTACTAATGTTTCCTTGGCAGCTAACTGAAATGTAAGTGCAGGTATTAATATTGCTAAAACTGAATAAGAACTAAAGCTGAATGTATAAAAATGACAAAAGCAAAAATCACTAAACATCACAATCACAAAATGACTAAAACATGAACTGAAATTAAAATGAGAAATTAAAAGCTATTTCAAATATGTATAATCCCAAATTTTTCTCAGACATGAAAATATAAAAATGATGTGTCATCAGTAACCCTGAAATAATCAATAATTGTTATTTTTATTGAATTTTTATGGAAAAGTGTGTTTTATGGTTGGTCACAATAATGTGTATACTGAAATTAAATTATTTCTGCATTCATCAAAATTCTTATATATCTCAGCCCAGTTATTAACCCATTGTAAACTGTTTCATCACATTCTATGCTTACTATTATACATAAAAACCCCTTATACAACACTGAATAGGTATACTACTGTTATTATTATATTAACATGTTTACTCATTCTATGTCCAAACCCAACAAAACTGAATATATTTGAATTCATATATCAATACTAGACACCTTAAAGATAACATGTACCAAAAATCTTTAACACACATTGCTATCCTTTTGTTTTGATGCATCCATAATAAACTGCTCTGGTCATGTAACAATTTGCACTAAACACATGAAACTGCACATATTTAATTGAGACCCTTCATATTTGCAGACAATGCACTAAAACACCAGACAGTCCATTTTTAGAGCTTTAGAAATGCAAACCGTCTTTACGCTCACTATTGTGACCGGTGGGATTAAATAGTATCTAATAATATTAACGTGAGATTGATGTGTTGTCTGTTTGAGCGCAGGTTAAAGACGATCTCCTGGTGAAGATCGCGTCCCGGAGGCAGAACGTCACTGAGATCAACATCTCCGACTGCCGTAACGTTCAGGATCACGGCGTTTGCTCTCTGGCGTCTAACTGTCCCGGTCTGATCAAATACACGGCGTACCGCTGTAAGCAGCTCAGCGACGTGTCTCTGTGCACCGTGGCCATCCACTGCCCGCTCCTGCAGAAAGTGCACGCCGGCAACCAGGACAAACTCACGGACCACGCTCTCAAACTGGTGAGCTGTTCCAAACTCACTTGATGGATGCATGTGATAAACGTGTGCTTACGAGTCATCATCAGTGTTTCCATCCACATATGTAAATGGGTCAAAGACAAAAAAGGGTTTAAGCATAAAAAAAATAAGTGTAAAACTGCTTTAAATTGTTGTTGTTTTCTCAAAAAAAATTTAAAAGTTTTCTGTTTAATTTAATTGCAATTTTGTTTTTGTTTTTCCGAGCAAAAAATAAATATCATACATTTCCCCCTGATTTACAGAAGAGAGCCACTAAAATGTCATTAAGTGTAACAATCTTGTCAGGCATATTTACAACAAAAATCAATTTATGACATATTAAAAGACTAATTACTTTCACCCCAAATACTAATTAGTTGTAATTTTACATTTTTAAAACGTGCCAATATCCTAGGATTTGCCCATTGGTCAGTAAGAATTTAAAACACAATCAAATTTAATACGCTCCCTTTTATATATTTTAATGTGTACACGTCAGAATAAGCATGTTGTTTGAATTTGTACATAACTATAAGTGTTACACTGAATGACAACGTAACATTATTTCAACCAAATTTTGACATTTTATTCTCCAAAAACTTATTTGAAACCTTAAAAGTAGAAACTTTACTTATATTTAATGTGCTTTCTATGTCATATAATCACAATCTTAACGTCTTTTGACAAATTTTGGGATATTGCGATAAAAACACTAGATGGAAACTCCAAGATGCAAATTAAGTCTTAAAATGTGGGGAAAAGAGTCACATGCTTTCTTGGTTGCAGCAACTTTTAATAATTTTATTGTATTATATTATGATGCTTTTTCTTAGGAAGTGAAGATTTTGTTCTCCTGAACACATTTGTGATTAAAGCACTGCTTCTTTCCATGTTTTATGTGACATTTCAAGTTTTTTGCTTTATGACTAAATATCGTATCATGGTATGTGTAATTTAATTCAATGTCATAACTGTAAAATAAAGAAAAAATATATATAAAAATTTAAGTTATTAATTTAATAAAAAAAAAATATATATATATATATAAAATCATGTAAAATTGTAATTAATTATATTTATTTAACAGATTTTTTAAATGATTTAAAAATAAAATAAACACCATATTTTATAATAAAAAAATTAAATGTAAAAATATTTGCAAAATGAATGTAAACTAAAATCATTTTAAATAAGAGTAAAAAATATTTTTGAAAATATTTAAAATGGAAAATAAAATAATAAAATATTAAAAATAAAAATACAATTTTAAAAATAAAATATTTTACAAATATTAAAAATAAAAACAAGAAAACACTCAAAATTAATATTTTATTTGTTTACCCGCATGTAATTATTAACTGACCAGGTTTGAAAAGTGCTCGAATTTTTGTTAAAGTGCTTGAAATTGCTTGAAATTGTAATTGCACTGCTTTCATAATAATTCACTCTCTGACTAAACCGTGTGTGTTTTAGATAACAGGATAATATGGTTAGGATGCTTTATATAGCTTGGCTGTAATTACAGAATACTTACAATAGAATACAGAATAATCTGTTAAATTATGTTTACTATATTATGTAATTAGTAATTAATATTGCATAATGTATATTTAAAAAAAAATATCTGAGCAAAACTGTGCAGATCTGCATGTGCATCATCTGATTTAATGTGGAGAAGAATATGTATTTATGCTAATATGTAATTTAACACAACTGTTAGTTGCATGAAAATGCACTGCAAAAATGCTTGAATTTGAATTTGGCAAAGGTGTAAGAGTACCATCAACATACCAATGCATTGCTAAGTTATTAAAATGTTAACTTAAAATTAGTGCTGTCAAATGATTAATTGCGATTAATCGAATCCAAAATAAAAGTTTCTGTTTACATAATATATGTGACCCTGGAGCACAAAAGCAGTCTTAAGTCCTTAAAGGGGTCATAGGATGCTACATGCACTTTTGCAATTTGTTTGAACTGAAATGTGTGTTGGCAGTGTGTGTACACAACCACCCTATAATGATAAAAATCCACCCAGTGTTTTTTAATCTTGGGGGACTTATCTAGTACTGTAGCTCAAAGGAGTTCACTTTGTGAATCCCTTGTGTATCCAGTCATATGGCTGTATTGAACCGAATGCATGTTTGTGTGTTTTTGTGCAGTTGGGTGAACACTGCAAAGAGCTGAAGGACGTGCATTTCGGCCAGTGCTACAGCATCAGTGACGAGGGTCTGGTGGCGCTGGCGCAGGGGTGCAGCAAACTACAGAGGATCTACATGCAGGAGAACAAACTGGTACGTGCATAGACCCTCACGTTACGCGTATGGGGTGTGCAATCAATATCTCAATATTTTCTGGGATTTTATCGATATTATTCAGTGGATTAGAATAATGAGACATTTGGGCTGTTACCGAGCAAATTAAATCAGTATCAATAAAATTCATCTTTGCAATGCAGAGGAAACACAGAAGCTGCGTCTGAAGTGGCGTTTAGATGTGTTTACACACTGTTTATGTAATGCATTTAATCTGCAATTACAAATGCATAAATAATGTTTTGGTATATTAATCATAAAACTTTGAATAGGTACTTTAAATGTGAAATTAAAAACCGCCAGTAGATGGCAGCAAGTCACTGTTAATAAGTGAATCATTGCGATTGAACTGAATAATTTTTAAATGTTTGATTCATTCAGGAACGAATCACTGTCATGTTGCTCAGAGACGCAAAACAGTGCTGTGGCTGTGTTTGGGATTATTTTTGTTGTCGAAAACAGTGTCTAAAACGTAAGTCTCTTAATTAACTTCTAGTTTATTGAACTGTTGTAAAAAAAATCAACATCACATTTATAATCATTAAACATTTTTAAAGAAAAAACGGCACTCTTCGTGTGAAATTCATTAACTATTTGAAGTGGTATAAATTTATATTTAATTTTTTTACCCGCATGTAATTATTAACTGACCAGGGTTCATACGTTGCTGGAACTTCTTGAAAATGCTTGCATTTCTATATATTCAAGGTTTGAAAAGTGCTTGAATTTTTGCTAAAGTGCTTGAAACTGCTTGAAATTGTAATTGCACTGCTTTCATAATAATTCACTCTCGGACTAAACAGTGTGTGTTTTAGATAACAGGATAATATGGTTAGGATGCTTGCGCTTTATATAGCTTGTCTGTAATTACAGAATACTTACAATAGAATACAGAACAATCTGTTAAATTATGTTTACTGTATTGTATAATTAGTAATTAATATTGCATAATGTATATTTAAAAAAAATATCTGAGCAAAACTGTGCAGATCTGCATATGCATCATCTGATTTAATGTGGAGAAGAATATGTATTTATGCTAATATGTAATTTAACACAACTGTTAGTTGCATGAAAATGCACTGCAAAAATGCTTGAATTTGACTTTGGCAAAGGTGTAAGTGAACCATGAATTATTTATGTGCAAGGCATATTATTTGTTGCATTTCTGTCAGTTGATTTATAGGTTTTTGTCCGTGAATTACTAAGTAGTGCATCTGGTTGGTGAATGATGAATCACGCTTAAAACACCCATACGCAAATATAATATATGTTCATATTTTTCCATATGCAAAAAATATTGTTAAAACATATGAATCCTTTTAGAAATTGGAATGATTTCATATCATAGCGTGCATAATTATTAGGCACGTTGATATTCTGATATTGTTTTTCCCAAACACATTTTACCAATTCCAAACCACATCATTCTTAATAACTACTATTGATTTTGTATTTAATCATTTATGAGTGATATATAATTGTCCATGAAGGCTGGAAGTGAAAAACCCTAAAAAAATGACCCTCACTTAATAAGATTAACATGCTGAAGTATTGTGAAATACTGTATATTAAGACTAATTTTTTATAGGCTTTATGGACAGATAAGTTGTGAGTGACTCGTGAAAGAAGTTTTAGGAGCTCATTTTTATTCCGTCTCCTATCCTGAAAAGTCTGTCTTGCAGAGATTAACTAAAAATGATAAGTTTATAAATATTGTTTTCCTCATATTTATGATCCTGTGGAACAGGAAGTCATGGCTGGACAATTTCATGTTCATAATCACCCTGGTGTGCTAAAAAATGTAAATATGAATAGAAATATAGAGATGTTTTACTCATAAGAATTTCTAGGGGTGCCAATAATGGTAGCCAACATGCATTGCAGAAAAAACATTTATTTCATAATCTGAGTTTCCCACCACTTTCAATTGTTTTGCGTCAGTGACAGTTTAGAATTTTGTGAATTTTTCGAATGAAAGATCAAAAAGATAAATGATGCAGATTTATTTTCACAGCCGCCTTTGCTCATATTTACCAAGGGTGCCAATATTACTGTGTTGTTTTAATAAAGTTGCATGTTTAAATAAAATATATATTGTTGGCATATATGGTTGCTGCATGCATATAATACCATATAAAGTAATCATCATTATATGTACATATATAAAATTCCCATATGCATGCATTATAAACTTATGTCTTTATGTACCCGGAGAATGCATGCATGTATGTGAAAATTAGTAACATACAAGCAACATATAAGGCAATACCACTCAATATAGGGCTTTATATTGCATGTCATATATTACATTTCCATATGAGTAATTACATAGTGACTAGTTTATTTTAGAAATGTGCATCTTATGTGTGTAGCAGAGGTGTTCGGGTTTTTATTACACGACTCTGTTCTCTTTCTATATCGTTCTCTTGTCTCTTTGAGTGATTGAGTACATCTGTAGCTCTTTTTGCATTGGTTTTTTTATCAGTATTTATGCATGTATCGGTCTGTCTGAATCTGTGTGAGCTTCATGCATTGTCTGTGAATAAGGGCTGTTATTATCCCATCAATCTCAGCCTTAAAATCACTCAGTCTGCCTTGATTATATTCATCATATATTCAACAAATCTGTCCGTGTGCATTACTAAAATGATTTTTTTAAATAGTGTTTTTGTCTCGTTTTGCTAAAAAAATATGTAAACGTTTAAAACTAGATCAATTTACTTGAAAAACTGAGAAAAATATTTTCAAAAGACTTGTGTGTATATATATTGCATGCACAAATCTGCTTTTTAAGTAAGTATTTAGTTTGAAAGATGTTGAAAAGTGTTGGTGAATGTCTGTCTGCAGCCACTGGAGGTCAGTGTTGTTCCTCTAATGAGAAAATGTCGTGTGGTTTTGTGAGAAGTGCTTTAAAACAGACCTTTGGACATTAATTGTAACAAAACGCAGGCATGTGTGTGTTTGCTGTGCATTAGACCCTGATCGTATCATAACTGTGAGTTTGAGCTCTTCGTTGCTGTCAGATTGAGATTCAAAGAGTTTCTCGTCTGTATAAGTGTTTTTGAGCCACTTCAAGAACAAAAGGACTCCAAATACCTAATAATAATAGTTTCTCTAATTGTGGATCAGATTTCTCAGCAGGCTTTTCCAGATGTGTGATTATTGGAGAGGAACTGATGGTGTGTTGTGTGTTATTTTGAGTGCTCAACCTGTTTTACTTTGTGATCTGATATGCTTCTGAGTGAAACTAGTTATTCAGTAAGGGTGTATTCTCAATTTGGTCCGGACCAAAGCAAGTGAACTAGTAGACTTTCCTGGTGTGAATATACCCTAAGAAAAACAAGATTTTGTCTATTAGTAATTGATTGAGTTGTGAAAACTGGCCGTTTTAAATGGAGCCAGACATGAATGTGATTTTGCAAAAAAAATAATACTTTATTGGTCCATTGGTTGTTAACTTTTAACTTATACCCTGCATTATTAGGCCTCGGTGACGTCAGGAGAAAAGGAAATTCATTTCAGAGTGTTTGTGTGTTTGTTTGTAAATAAAACGTACAAAAAAACAAAAAAAACCCTTACATTATTAACAAAATAAATACATTTAAAAATTAAAATAAAATAAAGATGTGTAAAAAAAAACCACATGTTAAAAATAAAACGTAAAAATACATAAAAAAAATATATATATACATATTAATAAAAATGAAAAAATAAAAAATATGTAAATAAATGTATAAAGGTGTAGAAGAAAAATTTAAATAAGTAAAAATAAATGATGAAATAAAATACATAAAAAATAAAGTAAAATAAAACAAATACAAAATAAAATAAATACATTTAAAAAACACTACATACATTTTTAACACAATATCCCTATAACTGTTCACAATTTTTAATTTGATAAACCAAATTTCTTTCTTTCTTTCTTCCTGTCTCCCTCCCTCCCTTCCTTCCTTTCTTCCAAAGACTTGTATCTTAATAGAAGATTAAAATATTTTATGTTGGTTCTGAAGTTGTTTTGTGTTTTCAAATGTGGCTCATTGGAAGAGGTTTGGCCGCGTCTTTAACAGCACTTCAGGGACTGAATGATGTAAATTATTCAAGTGTGAGAAACGGAGACCTTCTCCACAGGTTCATAGATTTTAAATCGGTTAACCAGTGACTGAAGTTATAAACCAAACATCTATTAAACTACTAGAGCGTGATTTGAATGAAATATCAAGTATGATGCATGCACGAGTCTCTTTATGTGGGTCAGTCGTGATGTTTCCTCACTATAATGCTGAAGCGGATCGCCGGCGATTCTGAAACCTAAGCATGCTTTCCTTCCCCTCGAGAGCGAGATACGGCTCCGCTCCGTCTCCTCGTGACATCTGAGTCCTCTCTCTCCTGATGCTTTCGGTGACAGATCGCACAATTGTGGCCCTCATTTACAATAAAGGGCCTTCTGCTAATGGAGTAAAGCGATCCCGCGTCTGTCTCTCCCAATCAATGATGAATAGGGCTGATCCGCTCGTCCTCACACAGATAATTGAATAATTAAAAAGCTGGAAGTCGTTTCTGTGCGGTCAGAGCTCCTCCTCCTTTAAATACTGGACTCTTCTGGAAATGTTTAGGATTGAGTATGTTTGTCATTTCAAACTAGTTTCAATTCTTCAAAGTTTCAACATTTCAAAATCATATTTTTACCTTTTGATGCAATTTTCATATTTGCGTGCATCGTGTCTTTAAGATGCTTTGTTCCAGAAATGCATGTTCAAACAAGCCTTTTGCATTGCATTTCCATCCTGTGTTTGTGTCCTTTTAAGCATAAACATTACCGAATAAAACAGTTTTATAATATAATCTCTGAAATCAAGCCTTAACATACACACACTTATACTTGAGGAGCAGATTTATCTTGTTTTAAAGAAGTTGCATATCATATTCAGGATTTATATCCCTTTTTTCACCTCTTTTAATCTGTATTTGTCACC